CATAAACAAGGGAGACATTCATCACAACTGTCAGACACGGCAGCATCATGGGGTCTTGTTACAAAGAATTCTTCAACACTTGTTCAACCTTTGGACGAAGACCTACTTCGACTAGTGGATGGTACCACTATGACCCCGCCTCCATCTGCTTCACGTCACCTCACTACAGTATATAAGCCACGTCTACGGCCCTATGCTGTACATTCTACAAGATTGATGGACTGAACACATCGACTCCAGGTTGAGGGACTGATTACCTCATTCTCCTCCTCTCCTTACGCCTTCCTCTTTGTATTGGACTGATGAAGCCACTGTGTGGCGAAACGTTTCCTGAATAAAGATTCCCATATGCTGCATAAGTGTCTCAATCTTCAACTTGTCGGTTTTTCAAACCATTCATCACAAGGGAGACATTAATAAAGTACTGAGTGTGTCGAACCAGGTAAGAACCAGGAATAATGGATTTAAGTTGGATAAATTTAGATTTAGAAAGGACATGGTAAGTACTGGTTTTCTAACAGAGTTGTAGTTGCGTGGAACAGTCTTCCCAGTGGGGTGATAGAGGCTAGGACATGGGTAGCTTTAAGAAGAGACTGGACAAATATATGAGTGGGAGGGGCTGGGTTTGATTGGTGTCATGGGGTACGGGAGTTATTTCTTGGGTAGCTTTAGGTAGATGTCGTTTTGATAAGGACCTGCCTCGTATGGGCCAGTAGGCCTTCTGCAGTGTTCCTACATTCTTATGTCCATGCTCCCTCCATAGAATGCTGAAGGCACGTAACAGAGGCTTCTTGCAGTTCTTGATGAACACGGAGCTCCAAGAGCCCGGCCTGGGGCAGAGTGCATGGCATATCATTAACTGCTGAAAGTCCAAGCCCCTCGCACACAAAACCTCCTTACCCCCTCCCTCCAGCCTTTCCTAGGCTGACCACTACCCCGCCCTCAAGTTCAAATTAGCAATTTCAGTAAATAAATATTTATAATAATTTTTCTAATGCATATATAAATTCGGTAGTGTCTTGGGTGTGTACAGAACATTCTAATTGTCCTTCCAGATCAATGAGAAATTGTTTGTAAAGTAAAAGGACACAAGTGCAACTAATGTTTAATGGTGAGTCGGTGAGTCCTCCAAAGAGAAGTGATGAATACTTGCCACCAGATGCAGAGGTGTCAAGTGATGAGGAGGGAGATAGGCCATCCAAAAAGCCTAAATTAGCCCAGAGAAAGGAAGGTATTACGATCGAGGAGTACCGTGATGATGATCTTCATGATGAACTTACTCTTCAAGCTGTTCAAGCTCAGACACAATGGAGCAAAAAAAAAAACATCTAAAATGACTCTTTGATTATATACCAACATGAAAAGCCTCTTGAAATTATCTGTGCATTTGATAATTTTAGCAAGTTTTTTACTCAAAATGTGATAGACAACATCACATATCAAAAATTTGCATGCCAAACAAAAAAACATAGATACTACTTTTGTAACTGATTCTGAAGAAATCATGAAGTTCATAGGAAATTCTGTCCATACCTATGGGTATTTGTCCATACCCATCCATAGATAACTATTGGGCAAGTGCAACTAAGGTACCCCAGGTTACAGAAGTCATGTCATCTAAAGGGGTTTTTAGGTTGCTTAGGTGTACAATTCCTTTCAGTGATAACAGCCAAAAGGATAAAGACAGATTCCACCTGAGATGGTGACAACTGAGACAGGGTCAGCTGAGCTGTGGTCAGCTGAGATGGTGACAGCTGAGCTGTGGTCAGCTGAGATGGTGACAGCTGAGCTGGGGGTCAGATGAGCTGGCGACAGTAGTGGCCACATCTGGGGTGGCCATGTCTAGGGTGGCCACATCTGGGGTGACCATGTCTAGGGTGGCCACATCTGGGGTGACCATGTTTACGGTGGCCGCAGGAAATATGGTCATTTGTGATGAGGTTGTCACATATGTAACCACAGGTGTGGTCAAAACAGATGTATATATGGGTAAATTATTATTATTATAATAAAAAAGAAGCGCTAAGCCAATATATGGGTAAAGGCGTGGTCACTGTGGCCACAATGGTGGTGGTGGCCACAGATGAGTCACCTTGTTCACGCTTCAATCCTCTAGGTCTGGCACGGCCACGTGGGGTGGCCACATCTGGGATGGCCACAGTGCTGCTGCTGGCATCTTGGGTGACCATCGAGGTGCTGGCTACACAGGTCATCTTACACTTTCGCTTTACTTGTTCAACAAGTGACTGGTCTTCAGAAACATCAGTTATTTCCCCAGCAGTAAACAATGTGTTGAGCAGTGTTGTGGCAGCCACAGTCTGCTACTCTACCTGCTGCTGCTGCCTTCATTTCTTTAGCTTTTTTCATAATTTCTAATCGCTTCCGACTGATCGCATGCGAATACTGTCTCTTCGGGCGAGGCATTGTGTATGAAATTTGTACAATATATAGCAAAATTACGGGTCACTAGGGTCTGCTGGTCACTCAGAGCAGCACATCTCCTCTCCCTGTCGACTGTTAGTCAACACTGAGAGACTTGTGGTTGAAGCAGCTCAAACTGCAGCCACTCAGAGGGTTACCAATTTGTATTTTGTAGCATTTGGCAGTAAAATATGAACAAAAAAATGACGAAAAATGTCTAGAAAATGACAACAAATATACTACTGTTATGGTATACGTCACAACAATTACGCATTTACCTCATTTATTATAATTACGGTAACCTTTTCAGAGAATTATCGTACAGAGACGAGACATACACCAAAACATTACCAGATTCTTCAGCTCTTTCTCGGTAACATTAACTCATTTTTCAATTCTTTTCATATTTTTCGTATAATTCAACGCTTGACGCGTCACGCGCCGCTAACGTTCACACAACAACACTAATCTACGAACCTAAATACGTTCACAAAAGCACTTATACAACTAAATAATTAATCAAGCTAACAATTAACATAGGAACAATATTAAAAATAAATATATGTTCCAGATTTTCACTAGTGGCCAGTTCTTGGTGGACGAACTGTGATAGAGATCTCTCATGTCTCAGGTAGTCGACGTTCGAGTCTGTCCAGGAGGATGTTATTACAGAGCGCAGATTATCTGCGTGTCCTCCTCTGTAATAACATCTACCTTCGTATACTGATATTAATACACTTGCGTAGTAATATCATATATGGACAGTGCTTCAAGGCTGGCTGAAAACTGCTGACCTCAGGGAAGTGGTGAAGGGTGAATACCTGGATCCACGGACCTGGGGTGGGACTTGCTGACCTCAGGGAAGTGGTGAAGGGTGAATACCTGGAACCACGGACCTGGGGTGGGACTTGCTGACCTCAGGGAAGTGGTGAAGGGTGAATACCTGGATCCACGGACCTGGGGTGGGACTTGCTGACCTCGGGGAAGTGGTGAAGGGTGTATACCTGGATCCACGGACCTGGGGTGGGACTTGCTGACCTCAGGGAAGTGGTGAAGGGTGTATACCTGGATCCACGGACTGGGGTGGGACTTGCTGACCTCAGGGAAGTGGTGAAGGGTGAATACCTGGAACCACGGACCTGGGGTGGGACTTGCTGACCTCAGGGAAGTGGTGAAGGGTGAATACCTGGATCCACGGACCTGGGTGGGACTTGCTGACCTCGGGGAAGTGGTGAAGGGTGTATACCTGGATCCACGGACCTGGGGTGGGACTTGCTGACCTCGGGGAAGTGGTGAAGGGTGTATACCTGGATCCACGGACCTGGGGTGGGACTTGCTGACCTCAGGGAAGTGGTGAAGGGTGAATACCTGGAACCACGGACCTGGGGTGGGACTTGCTGACCTCGGGAAAGTGGTGAAGGGTGAATACCTGGAACCACGGACCTGGGGTGGGACTTGCTGACCTCGGGGAAGTGGTGAAGGGTGTATACCTGGAACCACGGACCTGGGGTGGGACTTGCTGACCTCAGGGAAGTGGTGAAGGGTGAATACCTGGATTCACGGACCTGGGGTGGGACTTGCTGACCTCAGGGAAGTGGTGAAGGGCGAATACCTGGAACCACGGACCTGGGGTGGGACTTGCTGACCTCGGGGAAGTGGTGAAGGGTGTATACCTGGATCCACGGACCTGGGGTGGGACTTGCTGACCTCAGGGAAGTGGTGAAGGGTGAATACCTGGAACCACGGACTGGGGTGGGACTTGCTGACCTCAGGGAAGTGGTGAAGGGTGAATACCTGGAACCACGGACCTGGGGTGGGACTTGCTGACCTCAGGGAAGTGGTGAAGGGTGAATACCTGGATCCACGGACCTGGGGTGGGACTTGCTGACCTCGGGGAAGTGGTGAAGGGTGTATACCTGGATCCACGGACCTGGGGTGGGACTTGCTGACCTCGGGGAAGTGGTGAAGGGTGTATACCTGGATCCACGGACCTGGGGTGGGATTGCTGACCTCAGGGAAGTGGTGAAGGGTGAATACCTGGAACCACGGACCTGGGGTGGGACTTGCTGACCTCGGGAAAGTGGTGAAGGGTGAATACCTGGAACCACGGACCTGGGGTGGGACTTGCTGACCTCGGGGAAGTGGTGAAGGGTGTATACCTGGAACCACGGACCTGGGGTGGGACTTGCTGACCTCAGGGAAGTGGTGAAGGGTGAATACCTGGATTCACGGACCTGGGGTGGGACTTGCTGACCTCAGGGAAGTGGTGAAGGGCGAATACCTGGAACCACGGACCTGGGGTGGGACTTGCTGACCTCAGGGAAGTGGTGAAGGGTGAATACCTGGATCCACGGACCTGGGGTGGGACTTGCTGACCATGGACCGGGGGGTAGGACTAGGTGAGGCATCACCAGACTTCAAGGGAAGACATCCGGGGGCCCACGGATGAATTCCCGGGGAAGGCTTAGATGCAAATGTTGGGATAGGAAGTGTAGGATATAAAATATAGGATAGGACTTATAGGATAGGAAGTGTAGGATAGGAAATATAGGATAGGACTTATAGGATAGGAAGTGTAGGATAGGAAATATAGGATAGGAAGTGTAGGATAGGAAATATAGGATAGGAAGTGTAGGATAGGAAGTGAAGAAGGGAGAATGTCTGAGGGGACACAGATGGACTCCTGGACACATGAACCTGGGGAAGACTTAGTGTAGGATGGGAAGTGTTGGATAGGAAGTTTGGGATGGGAAGTGAGGAAGGGAGAATATCTGAGGGGACACAGGTGCACTCCTGGACACACGAACCTGGGGAAGACTTAGTGTAGGATGGGAAGTGTACGATAGGAAGTTTAGGATGGGAAGTGAGGAAGGGAGAATATCTGAGGAGACACAGATGGACTCCTGGACACACTAACCTGGGGAAGACTTAGTGTAGGATGGGAAGTGAGGAAGGGAGAATATCTGAGGGGACACAGATGGACTGCTGGACACATGAACCTGGGGAAGATTTAGTGTAGGATGGGAAGTGTAGGATAGGAAGTTTAGGATAGGAAGTTTAGGATAGGAAGTGTAGGATGGTAAGTGAGGAAGGGAGAATATGAGGGGACACATGAACCTGGGGAAGACTTAGTGTAGATGGGAAGTGTACGATAGGAAGTTTAGGATAGGAAGTGTAGGATGGGAAGTGAGGAAGGGAGAATATCTGAGGGGACACAGATGGACTCCTGGACACACGAACCTGGGGAAGATGTAGTGTAGGATGGGAAGTGTAGGATAGGAAGCTTAGTATAGGAAGTGTAGGATGGGACACAGATGGACTCATAGACACATGAACCTGGGGAAGACTTTCATGCAAGATTACTGAATGTAGGATAGGAAGTGAGGAAGGGAGAATATCTGAGGGGACACATGAACCTGGGGAAACCATCAAAAACACAGTAAGTGGACCTTATATACGAACCACTGGCCTCCACGTAGCAAGATCTGGTAACTCAGAGATAACTCTGAGGCTGACAGTGGTAATAATATGCTCAGTGTTTCACCTGGATCAATACCGGCAAGTTTCCTGACACTTGTTGCTGCTGTTCACCTAGTAGTAAGTTATCACTTGTTCACCTAGTAGTGAGTAGTTATTATCACTTGTTCACCTAGTAGTGAGTAGTTATTATCACTTGTTCACCTAGTAGTGAGTAGTTATTATCACTTGTTCACCTAGTAGTGAGTAGTTATTATCACTTGTTCACCTAGTAGTGAGTAGTTATTATCACATGTTCACCTAGTAGTGAGTAGTTATTATCACTTGTTCACCTATTGTTAAGTAGTTATTGTTATCACTTGTTCGCCTAGTGTTAAGTAGTTATTGTTATCACTTGTTCAGATGGATGGATCCCGTCAACAATGTCAGCTGGTCTGTAATAATTGTATCATGTACTTGCAGTAATTGAGATTATTATTATTATAATTATTATTATTGTTTTTTATTTTTTTTTAAAACATCGTCCGTTTCCCACCAAGGCAGAGTGACCCACCAAGGCAGGGTGACCCACCAAGGCAGGGTGACCCACCAAGGCAGGGTGACCCACCAAGGCAGGGTGACCCACCAAGGCAGGGTGACCCACCAAGGCAGGGTGACCCACCAAGGCAGGGTGGCCCGAGAGAGAAAAACTTTCATCAATCACTCCATCACTGTCTTGCCAGAGGCGCACTCACACCACAGTTATGAAATTGCAGCACTAACACCCCTCCTTCAGAGTGTTGGCTCCGTACTTTACATCTCCAGGACTCAAGTCCGGTCTGCCGCTTTCCCTGAATCCCTTCATAAATGTTACCTTGCTCACACTCAAACAACACGTCAAGTCCTAAAAACAATTGGTCTCCATTTGCTTTCATCTAACATACATGTATGCTTGCTAGAAGTCCAAGCATCTCCCTCACAAAACCTCCTTTATCCTCTGCCTCCAAGTCCTCCCAGGCCGACCCCGACCCCGCCATACCTCTAGAAGCCATTCTATTTCGTTCCATCCTTTCTACATGTATAATTGTTTTGATAATCCCGCACCTCCTCCTAATATCCATACTACGGATTCTCTACATTGACCTCAGACATTACATCTCCACTGTCTCCATCCAGTCTTCTTGCTGCAACATTCACCACTCATGCTTCACACTGTCTCCAGTCTTCTTGCTGCAACATTCACCACTCATGCTTCACACTGTCTCCAGTCTTCTTGCTGCAACATTCACACTCAGGCTTCACACTGTCTCCAGTCTTCTTGCTGCAACATTCACAACTCAGGCTTCACACTGTCTCCAGTCTTCTTGTTGCAACATTCACAACTCAGGCTTCACACTGTCTCCAGTCTTCTTGCTGCAACATTCACAACTCATGCTTCACACTCATATAAGAGCATCGGTATAACTATACTCTCATACATTCCCATCTTTGCTTCCATGGATAATGTTGTTAGTCTCCACAGACTCCTCAATGCACCACTGTCAATTCAGTTAATTCTACGACTGAATGACAATAAAAATACAATAAAAATGTAAGTTAGAAGTATTCCAGGAAGACTTGACCTGGTGACTCAACAAACTTTACCTCCCGATGATCCAACTTGACCACCAAGCTTCCTACCTTCTTTTATACTGTTTTTTTTTCTTGGTAGAGAAGGTTGTTATATTATGCTTTGCTATATTATGTTATGTTTTATTTTATCATATACTTTATTATATTAATATTATGTCACATAATGTTAATAAGATATTAACATAACATGGAGATAAATGCTATACATTACCGACACGATGGAAAAGTAGAGACACATGCGATATAATAATAAACTAGGCACGATTAGTGTCACAAGTGACTTGTTCCTTAGGCAAATAGATAAATTAAAACCTAACAAATTTCAGGCCCTGATGAACTGTACACAAGGGTTCTAAAGGAATGTAAAGAGGAGCTTAGCAAACCTTTGGCTAATCTTTTCAACATATCACTACAGACTGGCATGGTGCCAGATAAGTGGAAAATAGCAAATGTGATACCTATTTTCAAAGCAGGTGACAGGTCCTTAGCTTCGAACTATAGATCAATAAGCCTTACCTCCATAGTGGGAAAATTTATGGAATCAATAATTGCCGAGGCAGTTCGTAGCCACCTTGAAAAGCATAAATTAATCAACGAATCTCAGCATGGTTTTACAAAGGGGCATTCCTGCCTTAGAAATTTATTAATTTTTTTTTTCATTAGGGTATTTGAGGAGGTAGATCATGGTAATGAATATGATATTGTGTATGTGGACTTCAGTAAGGCTTTTGACAGGGTCCCACATCAGAGACTATTGAGGAAAATTAAGGCACATGGAATAGGAGGAAAAAAAAATTCCTGGATAGAGGCATGGTTGACAAATAGGCAGCAAAGCGTTTGCATAAATCAGAGTGGGGAAGCGTCACGAGCGGTATTCCACAGGGGTCAGTGTTGGGCCCCCTGTTGTTCACAATCTACATAAACGACATTGATGAGGGCATAAAGAGCGACATAAGCAAGTTTGCCGATGACACCAAAACAGGCCGTCGAATTCATTCTGAAGAGGTCATTAGAGCACTCCAGGAAGATTTGAATAGACTGATGCAGTGGTCAGAGAAGTGGCAGATGCAGTTTAATATAGACAAATGCAAAGTTCTAAATGTTGGACAGGACAATAACCATGCCACATATAAAATAAATAATGTAGATCTTAATATTACGGATTGTGAAAAAGATTTAGGAGTTCTGGTTAGCAGTAATCTGAAACCAAGACAACAGTGCATAAGTGTTCGCAATAAAGCCAACAGAATCCTTGGCTTCATATCAAGAAGCATAAATTATAGGAGTCCTCAGATTGTTCTTCACCTCTATATATCCTTGGTTAGGCCTCATTTAGATCATGCTGCACAGTTCTGGTCACCGTATTACAGAATGGATATAAATGCTCTATAAAACATACAAAGGAGGATGACAAAGTTGATCCCATGTATCAGAAATCTTCCCTATTAGGATAGACTGAAGGAAATAAATGGTATAAAATACCGACACAATGGAAATATAAACACAAATGCAGTATAATGTGATCCTTTATTGACAACGTTTCACCCACACAGTGGGCTTTTTCAAGTCACACACGGATCTACCTGGGGTTGGAAGGTACGAGAGTATTTATAGTCATGTTCAGAATGTTGAGGTCAGGTGGAGAATGCTGCATCTGATGATCTACCGGGGTTATAGAGTCTTGGGTAGCTTGGCAGGGGTATTGGACAAGTTGTGAGTAGACCTTCTGCAGTGTTCTATGTTCTTATGTGGGATAGCGATGAAGAAGTTTCTTGGCGAGCGGTTCAGCTATGTTATAGAAGCCATTGTTCTGGTTGAAATTGTTGGTTGTAGAGATGAGCGATGATTCCAGGATTCTTCTGTATTGAGTGTTGTCTTCTATGGCTATAAGTCTTGAGTTTCTGTAGTTAATTAAATGGTTGTGTGAATTGCGATGTTGTACACAAGCATTCCTTGTATCGTCAGTCCTGCTTGCATATTGGTGTTCTGAAATACGTGTAGGAGGTCTCTTGATGTTTCGCCCACATATAATTTGTTGCAGTCATTACAAGGGATTATGTATACCCTTGCAGAGGATGGAGGCTTGTCCTGTCTACTACTGGTGATGTCCTTGATGGTCGTGGTTGTGGAGGTAGATACTTGGAATGATGTTTTGGCAAAGATGTTGGAAACATGTTTGGCAATGGAGTTGGTTGGGAGGACTATGTATCTCTTCTCGGCAGTGTCTTCTCTGGGTGTGTTGAAGATGTTTAATGCCCGCCGTCTGCAGTCTCTGATGAAGTGACGAGGATAGTGGAGTTTAGAAAATACTTGTTCAATTATAGTGCATTCTTCCTCAAGGAACTCATTGCTGCAGATTCTGAGTGCACGTAGGAAGAAGCCTATAATTACACCACGTTTGGTTTTGGTGTCGTGGTGAGAGTAGAAGTGGAGAAGATCGTTTTGGTTTAAAACGAAGTTCGTGGTCAGCTTTGCAGAGCAGAACATCAAGGAAGACTCACAAAGACTCACAAGCCTGGTATCCCACTGAGGCCCATATCCTCGGGAATAGGCAGTGCTCCCCACCAGCTCTCAGGAATTCTCGCAAAACACCTCTCTAAACTCTTGGGCACTATCAGTCCAGCACATCTCAAACACTCGGGTGATCTTCTCAATCGCATTCGCAACATCAACATCAGGAACAAGAAACTTTCCAGCCTTGACGTGACTTCCCTATTCACCAAAGTACCTACTACACAAGCCATCGATCTCTTGCGCAGGAAATTGACGATTCACTTGATCTTCCCATTCCAGCCAGCGATTTCATCGACCTTGTTGAACTATGTGTTGGCTTTACGTGTTTCTCTTTCGAAAATCACCTCTTTCAGCAGGACTTTTGGACTACCCATGGGTTCGCCACTCAGTGCAGTCCTGCCGAACCTATACATGGAACATCTAGAAGCCGAACGTTTCTCCACCATTATTCCTTCGTCTGTCACCTGGCTCCGTTATGTTGACGACATTCTCCTCATAACTCCTAAAACGCTTCAACGTTCAAGCTCTCCAAGACAAGCTCAACCAGGTCGAGCCTTCAATCCAGTTCACACTTGAAGAAGAAGTCGACAACACTCTTCCTTTCCTTGATGTTCTGCTCTGCAAAGCTGACCACGAACTTCGTTTTAAAGTCTATCGAAAACCCACCAACCAAAACGATCTTCTCCACTTCTACTCTCACCACGACACCAAAACCAAACGTGGTGTAATTAT